CACACTTCTCCATCATTTATATTCCATAGCACACACTTTTGGGGAAAGTTTATTAAATATTAGATACAAAGCATTACAGAACTTCAGTGGGACTCCAGAAATACTTTATCCTCTTTTTTTTTAAATTTTATTATTATTTTTCTTTTTTAGTGGCTGTTGGAAATAGGAAAAGGGAGGGTAGTCATTAGGTGGGGGAAAGACATTTCTCTAAATGTCAATATTTATGAAACGCCATTTTAAACCTTTATAAATGATTATCTTCCTCAGTACTGATGAGGCACTTTCACAATGCTGCTCAATTTATTTACTCGGGAGACCAATTTATTTCAGTACCTCTGTACTAACTGTTTGCATTGACATCTAGGTCTGCTTTGAGCAAGCAACTGTGACAAGTTGTTTATTGAACTGTAAACAGGTATTGTCTGAATCTAAACAATGGCTTTATCTAATTAGGAGACCCTGGGCATCATCGTAGCCCCATGTGGCTATTCTAAGCCAGCCTAGCATCTCATACAGATCTCCCAGGCCTTTTAAAATCTCCTTGTTCACAGTAAAACCCTTCATCACAAAGTGAAGAATAATCCTCATTTGTCCTTTTACTGTATGTACTGGTGTTTTGTGCAAAAAAGAAAAAAGAAAAGAAAAGAGAAAGAATAAGAAGAAAGGACAACTGCCTGTAATAAACTGAGCCGGGGTGGCCTGATTTAGAATGGCTGAATTAGAAAAGGAAAGTATGAATGAGATATAAAGAGGAGCATGAATAAAGATGAGCTGGGTTTGTTGCCTAGAAGGTAGAAATGCCTCGTGTAAACTAGAAAGTGCCTTCCTACCCAAAGAGGACTCAATGAAATGGTGGTTGTGGAGTTTTCAGACAAAAACCAAACCAAACCAAAACAAAAACCCAAATGCAGGTGTGGTTGTGGGAAGCAGACTGAGGGGACAGAGTGGGAGTCAATTCTCTTGGCTCAGACCGAAATGGGGCATGTTCAGAAGCACTCGGAATCCTTGTCTTTCTCTTCCTGGCTCTTGCTTTGTGTTTGAAGAGGCTAATTGAACGCAGCAATCAATGTCTTTTGTTTTCTGCTGCTGCCACACCCCTGGAAGGCTTTGCCCAGTACAGGGAGGGGGGCAGGTTATGAGGGGGGCACACTTAAGAAAGCTTCACTGTACCGTAGTTACTATTACTACGGTTGTCTCTTGGAAGGAGAGGATTACCTGCAATTTTAAGGGGAAAAAGATGTCATTAAAGTGAAGATTTCCAAATGTGAGGCCAAACAGGGAACAGAGTGAGAGATAGAGCTTTCTAAATAAATAAATAAATGAATACGAAATGTCCCAAGGAAGCTCCGCTGGCCTACACCAAAAAGAAAACGCTGTGGACATCGAGTAGGGGGATGTATTATTTTTTCAGTCACTGTATAGACATTGTTGATTTCCTCATAAAGCCACCTCTTTACATTCTTTTTGTCTCTCCTCAGGCGTTCTGAGTAGCTTTCCAGCTTGCTTCCTTAACAATTTGTGTAATTGGTTTCACTCACAGAGGTCCAATTGGTAGGCTCATCGTGAGGGCCTCATGAAATATGAATCTATTTAAAAATTAATCGTAGATCAATATTAATTCAATAAAATATTTTAATCTGAGGTATGAATATTTCATACCTTCACATAGACATGCAGATTTCAAAAGCCATTTTGTGTTGCTGACAGGCTGTCCAGTTTTGCCAGGACGGCACAGAAATTATTCCTCCTTGCACTGTGTGTGCTCCGGGCTCTCTCAGCTAGAGCCGCCCAGGTCAATGGTGATGTTTATTCAAACTGCTGAGAGAATGCAAATAAGGTGTGTGTCACAGGGCAACCCAGGGAAGTTTACCTCGTTTAATCGAGTTTATAGTTTCCCCTGTCTCGGCTTGGAATCAACCTAAAGAGAATCTCACATTGTCTTATAGGTTAATCCTTGTTCACACCAGGTTTGACTCGTATCAAACCTGGCATGCTGAGGCACCCGAAGGCGCCTCTGACAAGGGTCTCTAAAGAGATGGACTGCCGCTGCTCTCATCGAAATGAACCGGTTGCACCTGACTGATGAAACCCGAGATTTACCAGAGCAGACAGGCCCCAGCTTAAACAGGCTTCTCCCTTGACTGCAACCCCTCCGCCACTTGAAGCAGTCATCTCTCATGTCAGGTGTCCTCAGCTAAAACAACAGAGTGGCGTCTGACTTCAGCCGGAAGGAAGAGGATGGCAGATGGCAGACAGGCCATGCTCTCCTGATCAGTGGGGCTGGGTCTAACGCATCACTCTGCCACAATTCCGAGAGGCCAGTTGAGACTCCAGGGGTGGAATAAAGCCACAAAGGCTTAGAACTAAGGTAACCATAATGAATTAGGAGGGAAAATGGTCTCAGTGCTGATTCAATATGAGAAGCATTGGGCATTGGCTAAAACAATAATTTTCATCCTGTTGGGGCTACTACCTCCATTTGTCTTTAATATATGTCTTTACCACCCGATACCTAAGTTATACTGGCTCTCCATAAGGAAAGCTGAAAGCTGAATACATTAAAAATTCTTCAACTATGGTTTCTTCTTGAGGGAGCAATGGTAAATGAGGTGATTGAATTACTGAGGATTTCTATGCCCCAGAGAACAAGTCTACATAGGTTAGCATAACTCCAAACTGGGAAACAGACATTAAGAACACAGTAAAGGATTCAGGTAAGATGCCCAACAGATATGAACCGAGTCCGTCACATCTCTGTGTTTCCCTGGGGTCTCACAGAGCCTTGTGTGTAGCAGCACCACCCCTATGCCCCTTCCCTGGTGTATATCTTGCTGAAGGAATAAACATGTGTACAGTTGTTTCTGACATTTATTTAATTTGCCTTTGCAGTGTTTGCTGTACACAAAGCAGGTGTATTTCAAACGGTGCCTTGGAATGATATATACTCTCAACTTTTCTGTAATTTATTATCGTATTTTCCTTTTAGAGGAGAAGGTTGAAGCTGTGTACTGTGGTCGTATATCCAAGCTAAGGGCATGTCGCTGCATCAATCAGTCCCCAGGACAGGTCTCTCCTCTCTGTGTGAGAGTACAGCAGTAATAAATGTTCCTTTGAGGGGTCCCCTGGCACCTCTCCTCCATTTCTCCTTATTTGATAAGTTGGATTATTTCTGACTATAACCAATGGGTTGCCTGGTCCTCTTCCCCAACACTATTGAGTGGTAGATGTGTCCGGTACACACAGAAAGGGCCCAGGTTAGCTCTTAAATAGAAGCGGTATTGATGGATTGACCAGCTGTTCTGTTTTGCCCAAGGTGATCTTAGTTTCATCCCATCCCGAGCAATCCCTTGTCCCAAAGCAAACAGGAGTAGTTGGTGACTGTGATGGCTTGAATGGGAACTGTCACCCAGCCCACTCACATATGGAATACTTGATTCACAAAAGATACACTGTTTGGGGCTGTTATAGGACTTTCTGGACAAGCAGCTTTGCCGGTGGAAGCACGTCACTGGGGGCAGGCTTTGAGAGTTTTTAGCTTAGCTCCACTTCCTGCAGCTGAGATGTGAGTTTGAGATGTGAGTTCTTAGCTTCTCGCTCCCCATAATGATGTTATCCCCATCATTATGGACTCCAGCTCTCTGGAATCATAAGCCAAAATAAACTCTTTCTTTCGTCAGCTGCTTTTGGTCATGGGATTTTGTTACAGAGACGGAAAAACAATTAATACAGTCACCCTAACCTTGGCACTTGAGATGCCAGGTTTTTAACCTAGATCTGTAGGTTTCAGGTGAATGCTACATTTCTGGAAGGTACTTAAGTTGGGAGACCAAGAAATATTTAACATTTTGTAAATTATGGTCACATGGTTTAGAAATCACTTTCCTGATGGTCTTTTTCACATAATTTATGTTCAGTGAATATAGAAATTTTACATATCAGTGGATTTGATACATTTCCAAGCATATCTATATCAAGTATGGATCATGTGCAATTCTTCTTCTTCCATTTTCCTTCCTCCTACCCACTTCCCTGGACCTTTTCCAGCACCTAGTAATCACTATTTTATTTTCAGGTTGACTTACTTTATTTTTGTTTTTAATTTTCTCAGTTTTCACATGTTGTTCTTGCCTGTCTGTGTCTGGCTTGTTTCACTTAATGTGCTGTCCTCCAGTTCCATTCATTTTTTTTTGCTGCAAATAACATTTTCCCATTTTTCGTCTGGCTGAATGAGAGAATCCATCGTGTGCATATCCCATAATTTATTTATTTCATAGACACCAAGGCTGACTACATAATTTAGGTCTTGAGAACAGTGCTACAATAATGGGCAAGGAAGTATCTCTCCTGCACATTGGCTTCCTTTGGATGCATATCTAGAAGTAAGAGAGTTGGACTATATGGCAGTCTTATGTCTTGCGGACCGCCATACTCTCTGCAGTGACCCACTGAGATTCATGGATGACATTTTGAATTCATTTTCAAGAAGTCCTTCTGGCCTATGGAGCACTCACAGACTAACACTCTCTTCTGTGGCAGCACAGGATAGCCCCATGGTAGAACCAGGTTCTAAACCCAAAGTCCTCGATTCCAATCGCTTGGAGAGGCCACTCTGTGGTTAACAGAGACTAAGGTGACCACAGCATTGCCTCTTCCCCCCAGGCCTGTGGCTTTGTGGGGGGCTGCCGTTGGTTTTTGGGGAGATTACCTGAGCTATTACAAAAAAACTCCTAGTTGCAATGCCTTCCCCCCCTCAACCCCCCATCTTTTTCCACCTACTACCATCTTTGGAGTTGACTTCCCCTCTCTCCAAGAAGTTGAAAATCAGCTTCTCCCAGTTCCCCCCTCTCTTTCTCTCTCTGTCTCTCTCTGTGTGTGTTTGTGCATGTGTGCACATGTGTGTGTTTATGTCTGGTTGTGTGCTTGTGTGTACACATGCAAGTATATAGGCAGATAGAAGGAACCACATGGCCTCCTTCATAATCTTGCATCTTTTCTTACAGATCTTTGTACCCTGAAACTTGTCTGTGTCTTCCAAATCATCTAGAATTTCTCAAAGGAAAAGATAATTCATTGTCCTGTTGCCTCAAAGCAGCTGTTGCAGATGTTTGGAGAGAAGGTGTATGTAAACATCCTGAAGGTATGACACTTTAAAGAATGACATGCTATTTAATAGTAAATGTTTGGATTTTCCAAGAATATAAATTTCTTTGTAAATCAAGAGCTGCATGTCCTACTTGGGAAACAAAAGCGAAGCCACTATTAGCTTTAGCTTCATGAACTCAGGCAGGCAACAACTTTCTGCAGCTTTGTTCTTGTTAATTAGGAAGTGGTGTCATGTCACGTCTATCATGCAGGGCTTGAGGGAGGTTTGTTTAGTGGTGTCGCAGTTACTGTTCTATTGCTGTGAAGAGACACCATGGCCACATCAACTCCTATAAAAGAAAGCATTTAACTGGGGCCTTACAGTTTCAGGGGCTTAGTCCATTTTCATCATGCAGAGGATGCCAAGCTGATGTGTGATGCTGGAGTGGTAACTGAGAGCTACATCCTCATCTGCAGGCTGAACAAGAGACACTAGGCCTAGCAGGGGCTTTTGAAACCTCAAAGCCCACCCCCAGTGACATACTTCCTCCAACAGAGCCACACTTCCTAATTCTTCTAGTCCTTCCAAAAAGTGCAACTCCCTGGTGACTAAGCATTCAAATATGTGACCCTATGGGGGCATTCTTATCCAAACCACCACAAGTAGTATATAAAGTGACAATCGTTGGCACATAATAATGGCTCTGCCAGGTCAGAGATGTGGCTTAATTGGTTGAGTGTTTGCCTAGAACGCGTGAGATTCAGGGTTCAATACTCTGTGCTGCATAAAGCAACTATGGTGGGACAGGACTGTAATGTAGACACGTGTGAGCACATCAGAAGGTTTAGAAGTTCAAGGTCATTCTTGACTGTATAAGCAACTGGAAGCTAGCCTGAGCTAGAGACCCTGGTTTTTTTAAAGATACTTTTGATATGGTAATATAGCTTAGTTGGTAGAGTGCTAGCCTAGTATGTACTAGGTCCTGGGTTTGATCCCCAGTACCACAAATGAGTGTAGTAGTATATATCTGTAGTCCCAGGATGTGGGAGGTAGAGGATCAGAAGTTCAAGGTTGTCATCTGCTATATATCAAGTTTAAGATCAGCTTGGGTACAGAAGACCCTGCTTCAAAATGAAAATAATAATGGTAACATAAATAAATACATAAAACCAAATTAAAAGGGCTCCCAGATGATAGCTATTAAAAGTAAGAGGGAGAGTTTAGTTCCATTTGTGAGAATGCTTTTACATATTAGCATTGAAAGGCAATGGAATGGGCTACCCTGGGATGAAGGGGGTCTCAAGTCACTGGAGACACTGAAATGAACCTGGATTGTTCTTTCTCTAGAATCCAATGGATGGGATTTTTATATAATATAGAAATTCTTACTATTTGTTACATAGAATACATGGTTGAGAAATTTTCACTGAAACTTTTAATACAAATACGGAAACTAAGAGAAACATTTTCCAAGTGTTTTAGGTAGACACATGAAATTGATGGACTCAGTTAACAAACACTGACAGGAGTTCTCTTTAGAGTGATGCCTCATATCCTAGGTGTCCAGCCTGACCTAAAAGGCGGTGAGGAAGACGAGAACCAGGACTCTGGGTCTTCTTCCCCTTTGTCCTTGTGGTCCCTTGACTTCTGTAATTCTTAGGCTTGGGCTGACGTTTGCTGTCAGAGGTTAAGGAGGGCTACCATTCCACAGCCCACCTGAGAAACACTTTGGAAGTGATTCAGGTAGAGGTGAGACAGAAAGCCCTTGAGAACAAGAAAAGCATCAAATGCGTGAGTGCTGTGATAGATCATGGTTTAGTCTTGTTGAGATGGTTCTGAGGAGACTTGATAATTTCCCCTTATATGGGTGTTTGAAATGGCTCCACCTTCGATGATTTTGAGGTGTTTGTATATGGTTTAAGAGACGGGAATGCACTTTAATAATCTTAATTTCAGTGAACACAGTTTTGCTAACCTTGATATCCCATAGCTTTAGTAAACGCTGTGAGCTGAGAGCTATAGGGCTGTTGGCTTAATGCCAGCAATGGTTTTCTTCACGATGTGTGTGTGTGTGTGTGTGTGTGTGTGTGTGTGTGCGCGCGCGCGCGCGCGCGCGCGCATATGTGCATGGACATGTATGCATGAATTTGAGGAAACCAAAGGACAAGTCAAGTGTTTTTTTTTTTTGTTTGTTTTTTTTTTTTTTTTGGTGCTGTCCATCTTTTTTGGGTAATAGTGTCTCTCACTAGCGTGGAGCTCACCAAGCAGGCTAAGCTGGCTAGGCTGGTCAGTGAACCACACCTTGCCAATCCTGGGATTACCAGCCCACAACAACACACCTGGTGTCTGTGGATGGAACTCAGGTTTTTAAGCTTACAAGGCAAGTATTTTACTGACTGATCCATCTCCATGGTTATTCTTTATGGTTTTAATCTTAAAAAAAAAAATAAAGATGTAGCTTCCTTTTAAAGGACGATGCTTTAAAGATTGTTAAACTGCTTCAGGAGACCAAATTGCCTACAGGAGAGCCTTAAAAACTTACATGTGGTTAGATTTAATGCATGAAGAAAAATCACACCTGGACTGATTCTAAAATTCCCCCAAAAGCTATTTTTTTTAAATAGAGGGGTTTTTCTTTTTCTTTTGGTACTTGTTTGAATTTCAGATCTTTAAAAAAGTGCTTTTTCTTTTTTCTTGAGTGAGATTGGAGTACAGGATATCAAATTCACACTGTATCAAAAAAAAAAAAAAAAAAAAAAAAAAAAAAAAAGATTTGGATCATCTGGTTGACCTCCAAGCATTTCCTACTTGTCAAGCTCTCTTAATTTCTCTGCTGTAAAATACCGTGGATTTTAAAGTAGGGGCTTTCCAACTTTCCCTTAAATTACCACCTCCCCTCCTTAATCGAGTGACTTCCATTTTGAGATTTTAATTTTAACGGGACCTTTTCTAAATTAAAATGTGAACTAAAATTACTTTCCTCTAACAATTTGGCATGGAAAAAAACAAAATACAGAGATGGAATGCTGAATGAACAGTGGGGTTTCCAGAAGGAGGAGTCGGTCCAATAGCAGTGATTTATAATTATTTTGCACGAGGACTTAAATTTTGTTATTAAAATCTTATTTCCTATAAAATATGTATTGATTGATTATTTTTACAGATTTCAGGGCATATCATTTAGTATATCCATTTAGGAAAAAGAATCCATTTTTAGGTGTTCAACAAAGCAATTTTAATAGTGAAAATTAAACAGCCAACAGAAGGGCTTACAAGTCACACAGGAAATGATGTGGTGTCTAGGCAGTTATATGAATAAGATAGCTCTACCATTCTTAGGTTTAGGACAATAGAATTTGCAATCATCTGAATTCAGGATCTAGGCTGCCTGTTGAGTATGGGACCACAGCAGGGAGGGAATATTTGACGGGATCTAGTTTCTTTGGAGTTATTTACTCCTTGATAAACTCCAAAAGTGTCTAGGGAGTGTAGGCTGGCTGTGATTCTAAGAAGCGGGGGAAAGGGAGTGGATTTGTCTGAAAACCTGTTGGCAAATGACTGGATTAATGAGAACCAGTAGGGATATCAACCGACTCATAGGGATATGAGTTCTCAGAGTCAGAGCTGAGGCAGCTGGCCTATTGTCAATATGCAGCTGGAGAGCTGCTCCGGAAGGGTGGCTGATTGCGCTGATTACACTTTCCTCATGGATTATTTCCTGAAGGTGCACTGTATCTATCCATCATGAGCGTGATGTTATTCAGTGTCTAAAGTCAAGGTGTGAAACTCAACACTGAGACAGCAAATATCATGTTCAATGTAGTGATGCTCTCTTCATCCTGGTAATATGGGATCTGAAGAGCCCATTGAGTACTGAGCACATTCATTCCTGAAAGATGCAGACTAGGTGGACCCAACAGAAAGGGATGCGAAATGCTAATGTTTGCATTTCATTTGTAGGCAAAAGAAGAAAGGCAGGAGGGCAAGGCCCATATTTATCACTTGTGTGGATCTGGATATAGGCAGTGAGCAGAACATGAGCCAAGGTTCTACAGATACATTATTGAAGACTAGAAAATTCAAGTGTGAACTTTGAGTGATGCTAACAATGAAACTTGAAATTAAAATCTCCAAGGAGAGAAACCAGGCCTTCAAGTTTTTGACAGCATAGGATTCAGAAGAGTTACTCTGGATGGTTTATCAAAATGAGTGAAAGGAAAAAGAGGATCCAGGAAGAAGCAGAGCATTGACATTTCCTTAAAGATTCATTAGCTCTCTAATGGAAGGAAAAGGGAAGGTAGTGCCTGATAGATATTGCACACTTTGTTGTTTGTTTTTTTCAATATAGTTTAAATGCTTGTTTCATTCAAATATTTATCCAGTGTCTACTTTGTGTCAAATATAACAACAAAGTGAGCAGTTGTTGTCCATGCTCCAGAGAGCTTACCATCTGTAAGAATATACCGACTAGGACCAGAACTCTAGAAGGAGATAAATCTGATAGGCCGTGAAGGGTCCAAGGGAGCAAGCATATTTTGGAGGAGTATCTAATTTAGTTTAGGTAAGAAGACGGAGTTGAAGACACGAAAACCTGTAAAACAGAGCTTGTGTGATAAGCATGTATTTTTCTGGAAAAATACAATTGGAGAAGCAATTTCAGGCCAAAAATATTAATATATACTGATTTTTACAGGCAAAGGGAGAATGATGTTTTCGGGACCAGAAACTGATTCATATCCTTTTCATTTTTGATTCACCCTGGGCTTCTGATCTATGGGTTTGTGCTGCCCATATTCAGGGAAGGTCTTCTCTTCTCAGAGACCTCTTGGGAAATGCTCACACAGACACACCCAAATGTGTATATTGTTAATGTGAGGTTGACAGTTAAAATTAATCATCATAGTCTTCATGCTATAGAAATTTGGGATAGATGATAGGTAGGAATAATAACTGGTGATAGAAGAAGATAAGCCAACCTTCTTGCCTCACAGAACCTACAGCCTGTCCGGGGGTGGCATTGCGGGGATGGGAGGTGGGGGTGGGTGGGGTGGTAACGCAAAAAGTCGTTTCATTTCATGAAACGTTCAATGCCAGGGCATCAATACTAACAAATGGCTGCTGTGGAAACATCAGTGGAGGCACTTAGATTGATTGAATCAGTGGGGATCGTAGAGGCAGAGGATCAAAGTGGAGAAGTTGTTCCAGAAGTTAAGACATTAGCTCAAGACCTAACTGAAGATACTGAAGGAGCGAGGATGGAAGCAGGATGCTTGTCACGAACATGTGCAAAGAGCTGGAAGCAAAGCAGAGGAAACCTCAACTGAAGATACCGAAGGATTTCTCCGTTTGGAACCCTAAGCAGTTCCCAAGATCAGTGGGAAGGGACATTTAGAAGCAGGATGTCCAGTCTTTTGGCATTGCTATAGAACGCCATCATTTCCATTTATGGACTGGTGACATCCATAGTTACCCTGGGATAAATGAAGCCTGAGGACTACAGGTTGGACACACCTGTTAGAGCACTGATTATTGGACATAAATATGAAAAAATAAATTGATTCTCTCTATATATTAGAACCCAATATTTAAGTGTAATTGAGGAAAAAGATGTCAATAATAAAACTAAAGATATAGACAGTCAACACACATGAACTTTAAATATGTATGTATGTTTAATACAAACTTTAAATAGTATGTATGTTTAATACAAACAACAAAGCTTTGTTTCAGTCTGAACCATTTTATAGAACATGTCCCTTAGTTCAGGCTGTTTTTCACTCTGCTGGACTATTTCTAGAAACTTCACTCGGTGTGTAGTTTACAACTAATTGAAATGTTTTCTCTCCTCCTGGGCTTCTGGGTCCATTTGTGCTCTGGTTACAGGAAGGGAGGTGGTGTTGTCAGTGGCTGCTGGGTCATGTGCAGGGAAGCAAGGCCTCCCTTAATGGGCTCTTACAGCCAGGGTTTTCCTACCACAACTCCTTGAGAAGGGCAGCGCCACCTGAGTTTGCTGGTTTTTCTGTCCCCACTATTGCTAGATCCATTCCTAGCATCCTCTTCTACTGGCATGATTCTTGCCATTTAAAGTTTTTCAGATTCAAAAGCTCATTTACTTACCCATAGTTCAAGGTGATTTCAATTCTGCACACGTGTCTGGCAATTCTCAGATTCTGTGGACGTGCATGTGGGTTTTGTAGCACACTGGCCACAATAAACACATATCCATCATTAAAGGTAAGGTGAATGAACTTCCCAGATGTTAGCTAGCTTAAGAAACTCTCTAAACCTTAGTTCGATGACCAAATATGCTACTTTGGTATTACCATAATGTCTCTGGGAAAGACATTTATCTGGCTATGTTTAATTTTTCTAAGGCTGCGGCTTCAAGGGGGGAAAAGGAAGGAAGTGGCATTTGTTTGCTCAGTACTTTCTGTGGTGATATTTTTATTTTGTATTAAACATACATACTACAAAAATTCAGGGGCTCTGCATTTTATCACACTTTGGGAATATTTAAAATATCACGTTCTATCAGCATGTACATGAAACTTGTTTACCAGGTTTCTTCCCAACCTGAGTGAATCTGGACACTTTCTAACAGAACAAATCATACACACAAAATGAAGATAAAATGCCCACATCTAGGTCAAGGCAAGTAAATATTGTCACGAGTGCCGCTGGAATTGAGGAGCGAGCTCTGGGCTTAGAGGAAGAGCGAGGTTTGCAGCACAGCTTTTCTAATTAGTCGCTATGGGACCTTAGGTAAACCCAATCCTTGTTTCTGTCCTACGGCTGGGACAATAGGTTCCTGCCTTACGTCTTGTCTCATTTGTCCATTTATGACTATATTTACTCATTATGCAAGCATTACCAAGTGCCTATTATGGGATAGGCATTTTGGTGAGGAAACTCATTGCTCCTGATCAGATAGGTTCCTGTACAAAGCAAAGGAGACTATCATACTATTTTAGTCAGTGTTCTATTGCTATGAAAAGACACCATGATTGTACCAACTCTTATAAAGGAAAGCATTTAATTGGGGCTTGCTTATAGTTTCAGAGATTTAGTTCATTCTCATGATGATGGGGAGCATGATGACATGTAGGTAGACATGGTGCTGGAGAAGTTGTTGAGAGTTCTACAACCGGATCCTCCGGGAGCAGGAAGAGAGAGACACTGGGCTTGGCTTGAGCTTTTTGAAACCCCAAAGCTCACCTCAGTGACACAGCTCCTTGAACAATGCCACATCTACTCCAACAGGGTCACACCTCCTAATCCTTTCAAATAGTGCCACTCCCTAGTGACAAAGTATTGGAATCTATGAGCTTGTGTGGGCCGTTCTTCTTCAAACCACCACACATATTAAGTGCTGTCATTTTCCAAAGTCACAGGATGCAATCTAGGCTTCTTCTTCTCAGCTCTATTACAGATGCATCTTGGATCAGCTTACATGGACTCAGGTCAGTCCTCTCATAAGCTTGCTCTGGGTGCTTACTACTGCTAAAATACACATGACATAACCAAACTCATCTTCTTGGTAGCATAGGCCAGTAGTCCCAGATACTTGGGAGGCCAAGGCAAGAGGATAAAAAGTTCAAGACCAACCTGAGCAATTTAGTGAGAACTTGTCTCAAAATAAAAAGTAAAAGAGGGACAAAATATGAAAGGGGAGCATTCACTTTGACTCACAGTTTGAGGGTACAGGCTATCATGGTAGGGAAGGCATGGTAGTGTGAGGGTCAGACAGCTGGTCACATTGTGTCCACAAGTATGATTGACATATAGAGAAACGAAAGCTAATGCTTTTCTTCCTCTCCCCCATTTGTTCAGTCTAGGACCCAGGCTCATGGCAGGGTGCTACCCACACTTTACTTCCTCAGTTAAAGCTCCCTAGAAACACTCACAAATAGGTCCAGAGGTATGCTCCCTAGGTGATCCAAGTTTAGTTAACTCAGCAGTGAATATTACCCATCACAGCCAAGGTTGCAGCTCAGAGGTAGAGCCCTTACCTACCTTCTGAAAGGCCCTGAGTTCTATCCTAGTGCCATGAAACAAAACACGATAAAATACAAAACTCATTGGGATTTAAATCAAGGGGATTCTCAAGAGATTCTGCTTTTCATAGGAAACCTGACAATATGAAGTTCTTTGAAGTAGAATGATCTATATATGAAGAAATATTATTTACTGTTATTGCCATCAATACTCATTGTGATGCTGCAAAAACAGACCCAAACCCAAACTAGCAAACTAGAAAGGGGTTTAGTTGGCTTTCTGTAGGGATTCTCACTATGATGCTCTTGTTTTATGGACTGCAGCTTGACACTTCTCCCTCTTTCCCCTGTGGGCACATCTTACTGAGGGTCTTTGCAGGTCGTGGCTGGACTGTTGGTAAGCATATGACTTTAAAAGAGAAAAGAAATGGTTTCATTGGAGAATCACTGTGTCAAGAAGGTTGTGTACCTCCTTGATGCTGAAAATGCCAATATCTCATAAAAAGGCAAAACCCTTCATTTTGAAAGGTTGAATATAATGTTATTTAACTAATTTCAAATGGCTACCTTTAGGTCACTGGAAAAGTCTAAAGCTAAGAACGGTCTCTGGAGTCTGTAACATTTTCATTTGATTCAAGAATGGGGAAATTTTAAGTCGTTTTAACCTCTTGCCTTTTGATATTTGGCTCCTCTGACAGGAAGTGTCTGTCCACTGCAAGAGATTTGAAGTAGCAGAATGACCTTCTTAATCAGGGATCAGTTTCTGTTCCATTCTTGGGAGTTAAGCACCAGGTACATATACCACTTTGATGGGTTCATTGAAAAACTTGTGGGAATTGTAAGGATTTTAAGCGTACTTTAATAGAACTTTATCAGGCCCACCTCCGCCTCATTCAAGCCTTTCTTCGAGTTATGCTCCTGCTGTTGTAGTTCTTATTATAATAGTCTTCTTGGCATTGGGAACATTTCACACATGGCAATAAACCCGAAGCTTTCACTCACTTGCCATTATGTGTGGGAGAGTCATCCATGTCACCTTTGTGTAGCAGAAGTCCGCTGACCTTTATTGTTATGTAACATTTTGTTTTGTGACTACACCACAGTTGATTTCTTACTCTCATTTAACTTTACATAGTCATTTGGGTTATTTCCAATGTGTCATGGGTCAAATAGCTGCTGTTGGGGCCGGAGAGACAGCCCAGTGGGTCTGAGAAATTAGAAATTACCTAGGTGCCTTTCTCATTTGTGTCCACCCCCCCCCCCACACACACACACAAGCCATTCATGCAGGATCTTTATTGAGTTTGGTAAACATGATTTGCTGTCTAATGAAAAATCATTTGGGGATGTGGTCTCCCTTTCCATCCTCTCAGACTAAGCAAAATTTATTGTTCTGTGTTTTTTAAATGTTGATAAAATTCACCTCCAGATTTGAATGGTATGTTTAGTTAAATAATTCAATTTAGTTAATAGGTGGGGTTTGTCAAATTCTCTTTGTCTCTTTGCCACTTCTTTCGCTTCCCTCCCTCTCCTAGGTCTTCTCATATAATCCAGGAAATTATCCAGCCTCAGGATCTTAAGGATGAGATTCTAGGTCTAAGAGATATGTATAATCGTGTGGGGTTCCATTATTTCATCACCTTTGACACACTACATTTTTCAAGGAGTTCTAAAATTTCAAATGAACTTACATGAAGATATGAACGGTATTTTCTTTTAAAAATGGTACCTGCAGTGAGATGCCTTTTACATCCCTGAGTTTGGTACCTAGTTTGTCTTCTTTTTTAGGTTGATGAATCTCATTAGAACTTTATCAACTTTAACATTTTGTTCAGAGAATAAACTTCGGCCTCTGATAATTTTCTCTGCTATATGTTCATTTTTCCTGGTTCATTAATTTATATTCTTACCTTTAAATCCAAAGTCCTTGTGATTTATTTATACTTAATTAGCCATTCTTCAATGATACCAATGATATTTGTTCACATTTTGAGATTAAATGTATTCTCAATACATTTAACAAGCAATGCTTTTGCTACATTTATGCATTTTAATGTGTTTGTCTCACTAAGATTAAGGAATGTAGATTCCTTTGTGGATTCTTTCACTTATTGAACATGGATATATTTTAGTTTCCAAATATTTGAGGTGTGCTAGTTATCTTCTAAAAACTGATCTCTGGATCAACAGTATGGAGAGACTCAGTCTTTTGATGTGTATTGAGCTGTGCTTTGAACTTAAATTTTAAAATGTGTTTGAGTGTTTGCCTGCATGTATGTGTGTGTGCTATATGCATGCCTCATGGCCACAGAGACCAAAATAGGGTAGGGTATTGAATTCCCTGGCATTGGAGTTACTGATGGCTATGAGCTGCCTCGTGGATGATGGGAACTGAACCCCAATCCTCGGCGAGTGCAGCAAGTGCTCTTCCCTACTGAGCCATCTCTCCAGCTCCCAAGATGCATTTAGCTAAGCACGTTGTCAATTTTGGAAGTGTTCATTTTACATTAAAATAGTGTATCTTCTGTAGTTAAGGTGAATAACATTTACATAAAGTATTGTTTTATTTATCTATATGTAATGCCATATAGATCTAGCTTGTTAAAAATATTATCAAAAACCTGGCACAAGGGAATCTTTCAGGAATCTACAAAGATGACCCCAACTAAGACTCCTAGCGATAGCAGATACATAGCCTGAACTGTCCCATCTTCTGTGACTACATTGGTGCCTAGCCCAATTGTCATCAGAGAGGCTTCATCCAGCAACTGACAAAAACGGATGCAGACCCACAACCAAACATTAGGTGGAGTTTGGGGAATCCTGTAGAAGAGGGGGAGAAAGGATTGTAGGAGCCAGAGAAGTCAAGGACACCACAAGAAAACTCACAGAATCAACTAACCTGGGCTCACAGGGACCCATAACAACTGAACCGACAACCAGGGAGCCTGCATGGGACTGACCTAGGCATGGTGCATATATGTGACAGTTGTGTAGTTTGGTCTTCTTGTAGGATTCCTAACAGTAGTAGCGGGGGCTGTCTCTGACTCTTTTACTGTCTTTTGGGACCCTATTTCTTATACTGAGCCGCCTTGCCCAGCCTTAATACAAGGGGAGGTTCTTAGTCTTATTGCAACTTGATATGCCATGCTTTTTTTTTTTTTTAAAGATTTATTTATTTATTATGTATACAGCATGTATGACTGCAGGCCAGAAGAGGGCACCAGATCTCATTATAGATGGTTGTGAGCCACCATGTGGTTGCTGGGAATTGAACTCAGGACCTCTGGAAGAGCAGTCAGTGCTCTTAACCTCTGAGCCATCTCTCCAGCCCGCCATGCTTTGTTAATATTCATCGAAGACCTGCTCTTTTCTGAATAGAAATGGAGGAGTGGATTGAAGGGGCAGAGGGGAGGTGGGGGAGAGAGACTGGGAGGAGAGGAGGGAGGAGAAACTGTAACCGGGATGTAAAATAAATAAATAAATAAATTTGTTAAAATATTATCTGCTTGCTGAATTAGATACTGAAAGGATGTGTGAGGATTCCTTACTATGATCATAGATCAATCTAGTTCTATTAATTCTGTTAGTTTTGTAATTATATTATTAAGCATATAATTATTAAGCATGTGATTATATAATTACACATAAAAGCAAGTTTATTTTCTTTTTCAATTTAACATTACAAAATGTTTTCCTTTATGATGGTCCTTTAAAATCTGCTTTGTCTAATATTAGAGTGTTTGTTTTGCAAGTGTATATGTGTTTGTGTATGGGTGCACCTGGGTATTCAAGTATGAGTGTGAGGGCCAAAGGCTCACAAATGGTATCTTCCTGTATCTTATGTGTTGAGGCCAGGTCAATAGCTGAACCTGGAGCATTATAACAATTCAGCCAGTCTCAATAGACAGCTTGCTCTGTGGATCCCCAATCTCAGCCTCAAGTGGGCTGGGATCAGTGGCAGCTCTCCATGCCTGCCTGGCATTTATGTAGGTTCTGGGGATCCAAACTACCATTCTCTTGCTTGTGTGGCAAGAGTTTTATTCATGAAGCCAACTCCCAAGTCCCAGTTATTAGATTTCTAAAGTTCACTTTCTTTCGTTCCCATTCACATGGTACACTGGGCAGCTGTGGTGTATTTTAGCACATTTTCTTGGCTTTGTAGATGATTCTAAATATTAATGCATATTGCAGAAATAATCATACAAAAATAAAATAGAAACATCTTTTCAATCAATCTAAAGATGTGAGCCTGAACATCAATTGAACTTACATTATTGATCACTCAGATTATTAGAAATCAATACCAGTGTGCACTCTAGTGAAGTTACTGAACTAAACAAGTAAATGGGTATCAAAACAAAACTCAAGCATATACAATGGGGAAAATACTAAATTGGAATTAGATTTTCCTCTAAAAACTCAACATTATATCAGTTATATTCTAGAAGAACATTCGATCCAATAATTGTAACGGTTACAGAATGCTCTCAAGGCATAACAGAACAAAGAACTTATAAAAACAAATGAACAAATTTAACTGGATGATCTCATCCAGTTAGTCAAGAAACAAAGTAAGCCATGTTGAGTGGAAGAAAATAATATTGCGTCTCAATACACATGGTGGAGGGAGACGCCATGCATTGACTTCTGGCCAATAGGAATACTCCATTCATTTAAATATGGAACTGAAACTTGAAACAGGGTCTCAGTAGAATGCAATTGTTACAAACATTAACAGTGACACAATAAGAGAGCAAAGTAGTCTGAGATGAGGGGATAGTTAAGTACACTATTTCATCTTGAGTACAGCAGACATGGGTAGGTTCCATCTAAAATCAAAAGGGTTTTGACCTTTTCCACAATACCTTTAATTCACTTTAGAGATATTTTCAAAAATTTTGATAAAGAAATGTCTGATAGTGACTGTTTGTTCCCCTTCTTTTGTTTCTACTTTTTATCCACATAATTCAAGAAGAACAAAGCCACCACTGCAAACGTGAGCACAGAGGAACCCTAAACAGTGTCGTCTGGTTATTCACCAGGGCTATTTTGGGATGGTAAGTTTGGAAAGTGGTGAATCTTAAACTTTTTCATTGCTTCTTTCCTGTTTGATTTTATTTTTAAAAACAAGGACACCTATCACTTTGGAAAAATCTCCAGTTTTTTTTTTTTTTTTTTTTTAAGTCTGAGTGCAAGAACCATTCTTAGCTAGAAGAATTTTTCTCACCTTTCTCTAAATTACTTTCACAAAGAAACTTTATATTTTATCTTAAAAGGAGCCACTGGTTGAATTATTCTTTGTCATGGTGTGCCTAATGTGATCAAGTTTTATTTGGGTTTTGCTAATGAAGAGTGAATTCTTTTCCTCAGCCATTCCTAACATTCAGTATCACTCAGTGTAACCTTTCATATCCCAGCTTTCCCCGTTTCAAGTCAGGCCTGTCATCTCTCCTCTTAGATCTACGAACAGACAGTGTCACCCAAAAGGACACTCTCTGAGGAGCAGGATGGTGGTGGGGTGCTCCAGGTTTGAAAGCTTGTCAGATTGACAGCTGTTCTGTGCACTTCGACAGTCTTGAATTAAAATGCAGAGTATCTTGTTTCATGGTGGGAGATACGGAGGACTAGAAAAATTGCCTTACAATTATTGAGCACCTGGTGTATGCCAGGCACAATGGTCGCTACCTGCTCATTTATGAAAATCTTTTTTCATTGTGCATGTTGGAAAATAGAAACTCAAATAGGTTAGAGATGAATGGTTTGTTTTGTGTGTTTCAGTGTGTCCCACTGACCCGTGCAAGTGTTCCTATAAGCTTTTATGTGCTTCTTAACATGCAATTTTACTTAGAGTACATGTGTGTGTGTGTGTGTGTGTGTGTGTGTGTGTGTGTGTACCTGTGTTCACGACACGACCCCCTTGTTGGGGGATGTTTGATCACATTATGAACCCCGAGTTTGCATTTGCATCAATTAAGTAAAATTAACCTTGGGTCAGGAGGCTGCCTTAGCAACTAGTTGACAAAAAGTAGCCATAGAGCATCAGAGGGCATCCAGGAGAGATAGACAGACACCGGAAGTGGCAGGGAGGGATCTGGAGTGGAGCAGCTTTTTCTGGTTTAGTGAAGCGGAAGCATGGATCTTTCGGAGATGCCAGCAAGGGGAGAAGGTTAGCTAGATACGATCCAGCCTCTCTGAGCTAGTAGGTTTGCACCTCAGCCTTTGAATCTTGAGTCTTATTTATAAGTAAAATGATAGAGATTTAGTTAAAGCTACGTTTAGTTGCAGTGACAGAGCCTGTGCCTGCAGGAACAGAATTCCCACCAGGCTGCAGCCTGAGCAGCCAGGCTGCTGCTAGGGAAGCAGGCCGGTAACTGCGGAGTTGCAATCGCTGGCTGAAATACCAGTAGATTAAGGTACAGTAGCTGTGCCGAAGTTAAGACAACATCCTCTCTCCCCTAGTTTGGGTATACATGTATAGAACCAAGAGGTTAATGTCAAAAGTCTTTCTCTACCATTCTCCATCTTTTTTTTTTTTTGAGGCAGGGTCTCTCATTGAACTCTTGCTCACCCATTTGGCTAGGCAAGCTGACCAATAAGCCCCAGAGACCCTGCTGGCTCTGCCTCCCCAGTGCTGGGATTACAGCGCATTCTGGCCACATCTGTCTGTTTGGGAGTTGGGGAGAATGACTTTATATCTTCATGCTGGCAAGGCAATGGAGCTGTCTCCTCAGGAAATGTGTATTTTTGAAACTAGAGTAAAGATTTGCCATGGAAATAGCAAGTTCTTGCTACAGCCTCTTTATTCTAAGACCTGGAAACACAGCAGATGTATCTACTTAGAATCGAAATTTAATGGCAAAATGAAATCAAACCTTGAAAGAGTTAATTACTATAGCACTAATTAAGTGTAGTGTTGGGGAGGGGGACTGCTTTATCCTGGCAAGAAGCCTGTAAAAAAGGTACCTGTCACAGACTCAGAACACCATAATTAAGGTCTGAATTGCATCCCAGCCAAAGAACAGGAGTGAGCTGTTTGAACAGCACCCCTTGGAAAATGGCATGACCACTATGTGTTTTCAGATTGAGTTGATCTCATCGCTCACTGTCTGCTTCTAAGTAGAAATTAGAACCTCCATCCAGGATGCTCTTTGCTCTTCAGAGAGAAGGAAAGGACTCCATGCAGTGTGCATGTCATATGTTGTATGTGCTGTGGCCAGAGCCTGGCCACAGAGCTAATTTTTGTAACAGACTCTCCTCTTGGTTACATGTCTAATCTCAAAACCAATCACTTCTATGCTTTAGTCAGAGGCAGTGCTCTCGCAGAAGTGAACACTAGTAAATGAAAATTTGTACTGTGTTGCAAAAGGATGCTCATGTTTCATGTTTCATTTCCTAACTGACATTCAGTCAGTTACCACACACAGGTAGTGACGCCTGGAACGCACATATGAAGGGTTCATTTAGCAACAGTTGATTTCCCTTTGTAAATAATGGCATCACTTGAATGCACCTTCATGTCTTGGTTCATTATTTTCTTTGCTACCATTAACCAATATTTTAGCTATACTAGGATATCCACTGACTAAAAAGCATAGCTAATTAACAAATAAGTTGAAATTGTCACATTCCTTTTCCATTTTAAATTCGTTTCCTCCTTCTCTTTCCTCCCTCCAAACCCTCCTTTGTACTCTTGCTTGTTCTCTTTCAAATCCCTGGCTTTTTTTTTCATTTGTTGTTATTGCATGCATATATGTTTACCTATATACATAAGTATTTCTAAATATAACCTACCCAGTCTATATGCTGTTACTTGTATGTATGTTTTCAGGACTGACCTTTGGTATTAGATAATCAGTTGGTGTTATCTTCCCTGGGAAGACTATTTCCCACTGTCAACACTCCTTAGCTGCCTGTGGTTCTTTGTCTAGGGTTGAGGCACTGTGATCCTTTCTCCTTCTGTGTTAGCACATCTATTGTCCCTGTTCAGGTCCTGTTTAGGCAGCCATGTGGGTGAGACTTCCTAAGCATAGCTTCTTTTCTCTTTTTATGACAGTGGACAGTGTGAGAACTACAATTTTACTCAACTCATCATGTTTCTTTTTTTATTGTTATTATACATCAATTTATTGCTCATATCAGGAGTCAATCTTGGGCATCCATATTTAGACCCCAAGAGGCCTATAAACAGAAGTTTTCAAATTTTACGTTTTAAAAGTGTTTCTTACAGCTTCTATATAAGAAATAGTGTGTAGTATTTTTAAGAGCATTGTTTTCTGTAAGGCATTACAGTACTTATGAAGGCTATTCTTTTTCCGTTTAAACAATGCTGTGAGGAATATATTCTAAGTATCCTGATTCTATATGTGAAACATCTAAGATTAGGTATAATAACTTACCCAAGGCCATAAAGAAGAGGGTTTTATACCCAGGTCTCTTAGCCACAAATACCAATACTTTTGTTGTGATGTACCTTATGTTCTCTAGAAAAATATGAACAGTAGCCTCAAGTGAACACTCCAGAAGACTTCTTAATGACTAGAAAGAAGTAGGGGTTTTTGACCCTAACATTGTCTTGGCAGCAGCAGGTTAGCAGAACGTGTCTCTTGTTGATAGGAGCAGAATTCTAAATGCTTTCAGTCAGTGAAAGAGAAAAGTGCTTTGGTTTTCAGCTCCTTGCTTGTGCCTCTTGATTCTGAAGACTGGGATGTTAGGTGGAAATGTAGCTAATGGGAAATGATTCACTTGTGAAATGAGAAGGATGTCGCTTTCCTCATCTCATTCCCTCCTGGTTCTACTGCTTTTTAAAAATTCATTTTAAATCTCACCACTCAACCATATCTACCACAGTGCTTGCTCATGCAGTCCATTTTCCACTCTAGAAGATTTCACACACTTGGTAAATGGACCAAGATCATGAACTGCTTTACACTTCCTTAGGTGATCCAGAACTCTCTGGAGAAACTCTGGCCTCTGGTGCAATATTTTCATCCAAAAGAGTTTAGTTTCTTATGATCTCAGTGGTATTTAACAATAAATCCTGAACTACATGTTTAGCAAAAGCAGAGAGAAATGGATGTCAAGTCCATTAATCACAGATGAAAATAAAATCCTCTAGGTTTGAATGTCAACCAGGCATTAGCCTTATCTTGCACTGTAAAAATCTATTCAAATGACCTCCTGAATAGGGTCAGCTCATTTTTCCTGCCCCAAGATATTTTAAAGAAGAAACTGGCCGTGCGAGTGTCATAATCTTCATGGTACCTTAGGCTGTGGGTAGTTGGTATTTTGACATAAGGAGATCCACATGCAGTGTTGTACTCAAAGCTGCTGGATAGACAAAAATCACATGCACAATCCATATAAATCCACTTGTTTTGTAAAGTATTTATGCCCAATAGATGAGAAGTATTTGAGGGTAATTTCAAAGTCTTTAGATACCCATTTGTGACTGAAGTACTTATTTAAGATTGCCCGAGGTGGGGGGAGTAGAAATAAACAAAATGGTGTCTACCTCTCATATTCCAGACAAAAGGAAGTGTTGGGGTAGAAATCAAAAGGGATGTGGATAAGAAATGGGAAGGTTGGCATTTGTGACTGTATTAAGGATGGAGTACTACCAACGACTAACCATTTGAAAGTTGGAAATGGCTAGCCATTTTAATGGTATAAACACACAAATACCCCATCAAGTACATTTACAACCTGTGAATCACTAAAGACTTGCGAGGCAGCGTCTTGTCCCTGGCAGATGCTGCCTGCATTCCTCTGCTCCCCCAGTGGCTTTCAGAAACACAGGCTGCTGCTTGAGAGAAGGAGAATAAAGACTCCAAAAGGCTGAAATTAGAGTGGCTTTGATATGAAATGCATCTTAAAAATGTTCTTTAGTGCTGCTGGAAAATGAGGCTATTGTGGTGTTTGTCATAATTCTGTTAAAAAATGATGCTATTTCTACAATGATAGAGACGCCGACTGGGAAAGGAGAATGGGGACTATTGGGATGTTTGATGATACCCTTTGCCTTCCTGGGCACTGGGAAATTCCACAGTTGTCATTTACA